TGTGTGTGTGTGTGTGTGTGTGTGTGTGTGTGTGTGTGTGTGTGTGTGTGTGTGTGTGTGTGTGTGTGTATACGTTTGTGTGTGTGCACGTGTATTTGTGTGTCTGTGTTTATGTATGTATATATATGTACGTATATATATGTATGTGTGTGTATATATATATACATATATATATATATATATATATATATATATATATATATATATATATATATATATATATATATATATATATATACATATATATATATATATATATATATACATATATATATATATATATATATATATATATATATATATATATATATATATATATATATATATGTATATATATATATATATATATATATATATATATATATATATATATATATATATATATATATATATATGTATATATATATATATATATATATATATATATATATATATATATATATATGTATATATATATATATATATATATATATATATATATATATATATATATATATATATATATATATATATATATATATGTATATGCACATATGTTCCACGCGCATTTTGATATTTATAGACACGTCTTCAATAGGCAGTAACACATAAATACACCGCTTGTGAGGCTGGTAACACAGATCCAGACACAACAGGGTCACTACACGCAAACGTGAGCAAACTCGTCAGTTGTAAGTTCACTACGAAGGTTATAATATCACATTCTCATTCTAAACAATCAGATGACACAAGAACATTATCCAGATTGTACATAAGAAGTGTGGTTATGATGAGAGAGATACAGTAGACACTGATTGTAGCTTACTGTACAAAAGAGATGTGAGGTATAGGTTATAAAGATTTTTTTTAAAGTCTGGTGAATGTGAAATGGCGTTGAGTTTTTAGTTTTTTAATTATGAATGCGAAGTGAGTGTAGATGAAAATATAATAAAAAAAGATATAGATGAAAGATAGAGAGAGGCGGGGGAGGGGAATGGATAATGTTAATCAAAGCCAGAAGATAAGAGTGAAAAAATAAAGGCTGTTTGAAAAGAGGAATAGAACAATTTTTAAAAGCCAACTTGATCGTCTCCGAACCGATAACGAACCTTTAAAAAATTCGAACTGTAAGGGGATACTGGTATTTTTTTTTCGTCAATGCCTTTGGACTTTATTTATTTACCAATCTATCTATGATTATTTTTTTCCTAGTTCTTCTTGAATGTGAATAATTTACATCAGCGGCTCAAAAAAGTCTCAGACCGCGCAACAATTTTCAAGACGAAAGATTAAAGATGGATAAATGTTTTTTTTTTCTTCTTTTTTTTTTCTTCTTTTTTTTCTAAAGCCTTTCGCCATATGAAAAGAAAACGGAATTGTGGCGCGTTTCCATTCGCTTCAGCCAAGAGTCGAGAACTATTTTTAAACCAATTCATTAATTAAAATGTTGTCCATCTGCGGCGAGTTTTGTACTTATGAACCATGCGGTATTGAGCGATAACTAGGCCTATTGAAACTGAGCGAAGTGATTGAAAAGAGGTTTTAAATGTGTTTACACTCACGGAATAGACGTCTGCATTATACCGTAGTAATTTAATGTTTAGATAATAACAGTTAATGACATTCATTAAAAAAAAAAACTCGGTATTCCCTTCTCATTGAATTTTATCTTATTCATTCATGTTTTCATTAACTCGTTTTTTTCGTATGGTATAGTACCTCGAGCGATCATTTCACGCAGATTTTGGGAACCACTGATTCGCGAAGTTAGATTATCATTAATATAATTATTATATGATTGTCTGTGGTTATCTATATGATAAAGAGAATGATGAAACTATGATGATATTATGATGATATAGATAAAAAAAAATAGTGATGAATTGATGACAATAGTGTTAATTATAGCATATTTTAGTAGTTATAAAATGTATAATGATAATGAAGGTAGAGAAACTAATGAAAATGACGACGATAATGATAATGGTAATAATGATATTAACTTTAATGATAAGAGCAAAGATAATGATGGCAAAGATAATAATGATAATGTTAGTGATATTAATAATAATAATGATAATATTGATAATAATGAAGTTAATAATAGCATTAATGATAACGATAATAAGCAATAATAATTATGAAGGAAAACATTATTATAATAAAAATGATGATAATAATAACAACAACTGCAACCATAATAATACTAAACATAATAATAGTAATAAACATAATTTTGACAATGATAATATTGATAATTATAACATATTCATCTTTTCTTTTATCATTAATAATTATCATTAGCATCCCCATAAGGATTACTATAATTAATGTTAACATCAGTGCAACAAAACTGTAAATAAACCAGCAAGATAATATACGAATCACGGAGATAAACTAATGATACAAAATATTAGTTTAAGAAGACAAAAAGAATAAAAATAACAACAACAAAAAACACGATTAGATAAAACAAATAAAAAAAAAACTATTGTTTTTGGTTCAAAGTGAAATGCAAAAATATGGAAAAAATACGAGAAAAAAAGACCAAGATGAAGAATGATAAGGAAACTTGATAATGGTTTTTCAGATGACAGGAAGATGATAAAGTGACTGATAAAGTATTAAAAAGAAAGATTGAGCACATTTTTTGTTTATATGTTCAAGATAAAGATTTCGACAGGTAGGACTTACATATTTTGTAAATCGTTGTTACAAATAAAACACCATTTATAAGATTTTTTTTTAGTATATGATTTTTTTTTGTTTGTTTGTTTGTAAATATCTTTGAGCGCACTCATAGAGGCGTTAACATATATACATTTATGTACACTCCTGAGCACTCTCGCGTACCTTATTGATATTCTTCTTTTTCAAGTTTAGTCTGTGTAAATAAACACACACACACACACACACACACACACACACACACACACACACACACACACACACACACACACACACACACAACCACACACACACACACACACACAACCACACACACACACACACACACACACACACACACACACACACACACACACACACACACACACACACACACATACAACATAAAATTGATAAAACTTCAAACTAAAGTTGGTCATTTCGCTGGCAACATCGTCCGTTTGGCAACGCTGAGTCGACCAAACATATGTCCAAAATATTTATAATGTTTCACTTTTCAATCCTTTTTTATGCTGCATCACTGCAAGTTTAGGCATGATTGATTACACTCTTATAACTTCTAATAGAATTTGTCACTGTTGTGTGAAAAAAAAAATCATGTCAAATCGACTTCAGAACACTAACGTTAACATCAAATAGTTTGATTTCCGTCGTTTTCCACCGAATAATAAAAAAAATATTAGATATATAAATTGATCAAACACGGATCAATATTCATGTTCAGTTCATGTGTATTTCATTGGCTTTATATCTTGTCTATATATAAATGTATTGTAGAGTTGACACATCTCTATAGCACAGCCCACAGACTCGAGTTTCTATAAATGACATAATTCTATAATTGACATATAATTCTATAATTTCTCTCTTGTCACCAGCTTTCAGACACTTCATCTTCCCGTCACGTTTTATTATCATGAAACTGTCTTCATGTCCGAATGTGTTGATTGTTTTTTCTTAGTAATGAGAGGGTCTATTTTTCCTTTTTTTCTGTCGATTTTCCTCTTGCTCTGTCGAAGTTTTCTGGGCGAGATTTTGTGCATGGAAATATAGAAAATATTAATGCTTCTTTACAAGTGGCTTACTCAATATCACCTCTAAAAAAGTTTTTTTTTTTCCTTTTTTTAATTTATTCTAGAAGTTTATGGGGAAAAAATCTTCCAATATATAAATATTTTCTTATTTAGTTTCCAGAACACAATCTTCGTTGCGCTTCGAAGCATCTTTCTCGTCTATACATATATATTTTTTCTCTCTATCTTTTTTTTCCTCAACACAATCTCCGTTACGCTTCTTAGCATCCCCTTCCTCTAAGGAATATATATAGATAAAAAATATAAATATTTGAGCAATTTTCATTCTCTTATCTAAAGCTATCGAACGACTAGTAGAGATTTTGCTGTCAGCTGAGAGGGTCACCAGAGCATAACATTAACTCACTTTTTCTCATTACGTATTTTCAGTAGCACCGTATCACCAAGATTTTGATATTTACAAAGCTCTATATAGAATCCCGTAGAGTTTATTGGACGTAGCACTGTCCTAAGATTAAATCATATCCACGAGGGATTTTTTTTAGATAAAATGTATGTAAACAATTATTATACAAAGACTAGGATCTTAGTCATTTAAATTCATAAATGGATAATTCACTCACCAAAATAGTTAGCAAGTTTTAGATATTGTGATCTTTCGGAGTTAATCTCTTCATCATATCTCACCCACGTGCCAGAGAACGAGAAGAAAAGCATTGGATAAGAATGTACAAACAATGAGAGAGAGAGAGAGGGAGAGAGAGAGAGAGAGAGAGAGAGAGAGAGAGAGAGAGAGAGAGAGAGAGAGAGAGAGAGAGAGAGAGAGAGAGAGAGAGAGAGAAATAGAGAGAAAGAGAGAGAGAGAGAGAGAGAGAGAGAGAGAGAGAGAGAGAGAGAGAGAGAGAGAGAGAGAGAGAGACAGAGAGATAGAGAGATAGAGAGATAGATAGAGAGAGAGACAGACAGAGAGATGAATAGATATATATAGAGATAGATAGAGAGAGAGACAGAGAGAGAGAGGGAGGGAGGGAGAGAGAAACTCAAAGAAAGAGAGAGCAGGGAAGGAGAGTACCGAAGGCGAGCCGGATGTCATCGCCTTGGGACTCCGCCCATTTTGCCTCAGCGCCACGGGTCCTCCGCCCACGCGTTAGCACGAGTGATGATTCTCCCAGACGTTAGGGCGCTGAGGGCGGTCTGCGGTGAGGTCGTTGTAGCTCCTGAAGGAATGGGCGTGACTGGAACTGTAGCCTGACGAGTCGTCGTTCTCTTCAAAGTGCGTCTCCATGGGCAGGCCGCGGG